ATTTTTTTTAAATTTTGGGGGAATTCTTCAGAATTATTTTGGAATTTTGGGGGAAATTCTTTGGGGGAAAATTTTGGGAAAAATTTGGGGAATTTTTTGGAAAATTTCTGGGATTTTTTGGAATTTTTTTTGAATTTTTGGGGGGATTTTTGAGGAAATTCTTGGAATTTTGGAGGAATTTTTTTTGGGATTTTTTGGGAAATTTTGAGGGGGAAATTTTGGGGAAAAAATTTTTGGAATTTCCGGGGCAATTTTGGAGGAATTATTGGAAATTTTGGGGAAAATTTTTGGTGATTTTTTTTTTAATTTTGGGGGAATTCTTCAGAATGATTTTGGAATTTTGGGGGAAATTCTTTGGGAAAACTTTTTTGAAATTTGGGGGAATTATTCAGAATTATTTTGGGGGATTTTTTGGGGGATTTTGGCGGAATTTTTGGGGTGAATTTGGGGACAATTTTGGGGAATTTTGAGACAATTTTGGGAATTTTTTGGGGGGTTTATTTGATTTTTTTGGGGGTATTTTTAGCCTGAAAATTCCATTTTTTGGGAGGAGTTTCCCGAGGCTCTCAGGGTGGATTTGGGATGAATTTGGGGTAAATTTGAGGTGAATTTGAGGTGAAATTTGGGGACAATTTTGGGGAATTTTGAGACAATTTTGGGGGTTTTTTTTGGGGTTTATTTGAGATTTTTTGGGGTATTTTTGGCCTGAAAATTCCATTTTTTTGGGACGAGTTTCCCGAGGCTCCCAGGGTGGATTTGGGGTAAATTTGGGCTGAATTTGGGGTGAATTTGAGGTGAAATTTGGGGACAACTTTGGGGAATTTTGAGACAATTTTGGGGTTTTTTTTGGGGTTTATTTGATTTTTTAGGGGTATTTTTAGCCTGAAAATTCCATTTTTTTGGGAGGAGTTTCCCGAGGCTCTCGGGGCGGATTTGGGGTAAATTTGAGGTGAATTTTGAGGTGAAATTTGGGGACAATTTTGGGGAATTTTGAGACAATTTTGGGGACAATTTTGGGGGTTTTTTTGGGGTTTATTTGAGATTTTTAGGGGTATTTTTAGCCTGAAAATTCCATTTTTTTGGGAGGAGTTTCCCGAGGCTCTCAGGGTGGATTTGGGGTGAATTTGGGGTAAATTTGAGGTGAATTTGAGGTGAAATTTGGGGACAATTTTGGGGAATTTTGAGACCATTTTGGAATTTTTTGGGGGGTTTATTTGATTTTTTGGGGGTTTTTTTGGCCTGAAAATTCCAGTTTTTTGGGAGGAGTTTCCCGAGGCTCTCGGGGTGGATTTGGGGTGAATTTGGGGTGAATTTGGGGTGAATTTGAGGTGAAATTTGGGACAATTTTGGGGAAATTTGAGACAATTTTGGGGTTTTTTGGGGGGCTTATTTGAGTTTTTTAGGGGTATTTTTAGCCTGAAAATTCCAGTTTTTTGGGAGGAGTTTCCCGAGGCTCTCGGGGTGAATTTGGGGTAAATTTGAGGTGAAATTTGGGGTAAATTTGAGGCAAAATTTGGGGTGAATTTGGGGTAAATTTGAGGTGAAATTTGGGGTGAATTTGGGGACAATTTTGGGGGTTTTTTTGGGGTTTATTTGAGATTTTTAGGGGTATTTTTACCCTGAAAATTCCATTTTTTTGGGAGGAGTTTCCCGAGGCTCTCGGGGTGGATTTGGGGTAAATTTGAGGTGAATTTTGGGTGAATTTGGGGACAATTTTGGGAATTTTGAGACAATTTTGGGGACAATTTTGGGGTTTTTTTGAGGTTTCCTTGAGTTGTTTAGGGGTATTTTTAGCCTGAAAATTCCAGTTTTTTGTGAGGAGTTTCCCGAGGCTCTCAGGGTGGATTTGGGCTGAATTTGGGGTGAATTTGGGCTGAATTTGAGGTGAAATTTGGGATTAATTTGGGGTGAATTTGGAGACAATTTTGGGTTTTTTTGGGGGGGTTTATTTGATTTTTTTGGGGTATTTTTAGCCTGAAAATTCCAGTTTTTTGTGAGGAGTTTCCCGAGGCTCTCGGGGTGGGTTTGGGCTGAATTTGGGGTAAATTTGGGCTGAATTTTGACATTTTTTGCCCCCCCAGAGACGGTGAGGACGGCCACG